CGCGAATGGGCGGGTCAGCCAGGCTACAACATTTGCATTGAATTGCGCTTTTATTAAATCCACGGTTTCTACTGGGGTTTTAATCAGAATTTACAAGAGGAACACAGACTAGTGAATGAAGGCGGAAGACGTTCCAAACATCTACTGCGTTTTACTAGTCCAAGCAACCGCATGCCTGTGAAGTGCCCGTTCCCCCAACCGAAACACTATAAAATGAAGCAAATCGTCATTATGGACACCACTCTACAGGCTGCCATCAACAGAAGGGTGAACTGTAGCTACAAATTAAAACCAAAAAGAGGATGTTGGACTGTGATAAAAATGCATTCAGCCAGCCTAGCAGCAAGCTGGCCATGACTTCACTTTCTCGAAGTGTGTTTGTTGCCAGCAATTTGTGATAGAACTGCTTGCCAACAGCTGAACAATATACATGTAACGTCTGGCAAGTAGCCATGGGTTCAATTGAGGCAAAGAAAGAGCGATCAAAAACTTACCGACTGAAGGAAAAGCAATACCCGAACGTAATCCCGCTCTGTGTTCAAAATTTCATTTAAAACACAGAGCCTCAAGCGTTGCTGGCGGTCCGAATCTTTGGTGCCGTGAACACCGCCGTTCTCATGTTGCCCGTCTTCTTCCATAATTGATCTTTATCCAAAGAGTAGGAAAATAACTCGTAAAATTATTATTGATACTTGGGTCACTGCAAAAGTATTCCGAGTTAGTTGCAGTTTAAGTCCATTTTGCAACACTGTATCTTCAAACCCCAAAGCAATGATGCGCAATGCATATACACTTCACCAAAAGTAACAAAACAAAAACATGCGCGTCTTTATTCGGATTTTTTTTCTCTAGAAAAGACAGAGAAGCCGCAATAACTGAATGCAGATCGATTTGCGAGATCCGATTACCCTTCAAGAAAAATTTACTTCAGCTGAGAATGTACAGCTCACAATATAGGCTGAGGATAGCTAAATCACAGGCTCTCAAGTTGGTTAGTTGTGTGTCAACATAAGTTTTGAAGAGACGACATGATGTGATGTAGGCAGCAGTAATTTCGCAGACTCTCAGAAGGCAGTCTGAAAAGCGCTTGTTGTCCTCTTGGAATGAGAGCAGTGCAACAGCGTGCCAGTGGTCGCTTTCAGGAGTGCAGCAGTGTCGGGACAGTCTTTACGTTAGAAAAAAATTAAATTCAATATCAAATCATTCATTCTGCACCTCTTAATTAAATACATATGTCCAGTCACTTTCAATAAGGCAGCCTACTTATTTTCACTTTACGCATGGCACAAACCAGACCTAATGAACAATTGATGGACAAGTCAATGGAACATAAAGGCTGCAAATGAAGTCGACTGTTTTAGGGATACAATTTAACATTTTAGATGACTGTCATTATTATGAAGAGGGTCTGAGAATCAATTTGCTACCACCAAGTTCCAACGGGCTCAAGCGCTGTAGTTGAACGCCAACAGCACCAGTGTCCGATTTAGAAACGTCAGCGCGAGGGGACCTCTAGTGGACTCATTCGTAGCACAGAAGCAAACTCATACAACTTTGGGTCAAAATAAACTGTCAGACGAGTAACAATCCAATGATTCAGAGAACGTTAAAAAGTGTTTTTACTTTATTCCTCAAAGACACCCTGTAAACAAAGGTTGGGGATCAAAAGGAATGAATGAAAAGATAATTACAAGTTTTAATCAATGCATGTTACATTCATTATCCACTGTGATTCTCCCAGACAGTTGCATACATACATTTTGTTTTTGCCTTTTTAAATGAGGAATGCAACTAACTAATATACCTCACAATTTCTTATATTTTACATATAATTATTCCTTTCTGTACAACACAACTTAAGTTCTTAAATATTACCAAACGACAAATAAGTAATTCAGGATAATAATTGATTGTATGCAATTGCTTTGATTAATTAATATTCCATACTTGTTTTCCTTAACAAAAAAAAGGTAGGCTATGTGCAAAAGCACAAATTAATAAAACCATCAAAAAGTAAGACATCTAATTCAATGATAGATTAAAAATATATAAAAAAGAGTCAGACTAAGGGGTCTACTTCAGACAACGAAATATCAGACAGAAATATCTATTCAAATATTTTTCCAGCTCCTGTGAAAAGTGTGTGTGTGTGTGTGTGTGTAAAACCCTCCATTGTCTACATTGTCTGAATATTATATGCCCACGGGAGTAATTGGTGCCTGTAACTGTATTTAGGCATAGCCTTTTCAAAACAAGTTGATTGTTTTTATTAGAATTTGATTAGTATTATTCACTGTCTTTTTGAGTCTTATCAATAGTGAATTGAATCTTGCTTTTTGACAACGTCTGGTATGTCCAATTGGAGTGGATAACTTAGCTCAGTTGGTAGAGCATGGCGCTTGCAATGACAGGGTTGTGGGTTCGATTCCCACGGGGGGCCAGTATGAAAAATATATGCACTCACTAACTGTAAGTCGCTCTGGATAAAAGCGTCTGCTAAATGACTAAAATGTAAATGTAAATAACAAAATACCCTAAATACACAACTTGAAGCAACCACATATTTAGCCATGGAGGAAGCCTCAACACACCTATAACTTATTTATTAATCAAAAACCAGCCTTTTCGTACCACCGCCAGCTACTGCGCCCATAATTCCCACTGTGAAAATATTTCTGACACACCCCTGGACCTATAGCACTACCGCCAGCGCTAAGATTTACCATTGCGTTAGGTTTGTTAAAATAGAGCCCTAAGTCTTTTCGTCATTTACATTTCACAAGATAAAACTCTTCCTTGAGTATATTTCCAAACTGCAGACCGCTGTAAAAAATAATAATAATAAGTAACAAAATAAATATATATGTATATATATATAAAAACAAATGTGCTCAGTGCATAAAGACTAAAGATTAAAGAAATATGTTTGGAGGTCTATCCTTTTCAATCATTGCCATAAATAAATGCACATTATTACTGGCAGACAGTAAAGGGTTCGCGTCAGGGCTTTTAAAAGCACAGTAAGTAAACAAAAATCGTTAAACCAATTGCAATACGCAAAGTAAACTCATGATTGTATAGATGGAATAAAACTTAATTTGCAGTGAATATGAAAACCACATGGGATGGCGTATCGCTGCAGAATGCTGTGGTAGCCATGCTGGTTAAGTGTGCCTTGAATTCTAAATAAATCAATGACAGTGTCACCAGCAAAGCACCCCCACACCATCACACCTCCTCCGCCATGCTTCACGGTGGGAACCACACATGCGGAGATCATCCGTTCACCTACTCTGCGTCTCACAAAGACACGGCGGTTGGAACCAAAAATCTCAAATTTGGACTCATCAGACCAAAGGACAGATTTCCACCGGTCTAACGTCCATTGCTCGTGTTTCTTGGCCCAAGCAAGTCTCTTCTTATTATTGGTGTTCTTTAGTAGTGATTTATTTGCAGCAATTTGACCATGAAGGCCTGATTCACACAGTCTCCTCTTAACAGTTGATGTTGAGATGTGTCTGTTACTTGAACTCTGTGAAGGATTTATTTGGGCTGCAATCTGAGGTGCAGTTAACTCTAATGAACGTATCCTCTGCAGCAGAGGTAACTCTGGGTCTTCCTTTCCTGTGGCAGTCCTCATGAGAGCCAGTTTCATCATAGTGCTTGATGGTTTTTGCGACTGCACTTGAAGAAACGTTTGAAATTTTCCAGATTGACTGACCTTCATGTCTTAAAATAATGATGGACTGTCGTTTCTCTTTGCTTATTTGAGCTGTTCTTGCCATAATATGGACTTGGTCTTTTACCTAAAGGGCTATCTTCTGTATACCACCCCTAACTTGTCACAACCCAACTGATTGGCTCAAATGCATTAAGAAGGAAATAAATTCCACAAGTTAACTTTTAAGAAGGCAATTGAAATGCATTCCAGGTGACTACCTCATGAAGCTGGTTGAGAGAATGCCAAGAGTGTGCAAAGCTGTCATCAAGGCAAAGGGTGGCTAAATATATTTTGATTTGTTTAACACTTTTTTAGTTACTACATGATTCCATGTGTTATTTCATAGTTTGATGTCTTCACTATTATTCTACAATGTAGAAGATAGTACAAAGAAAACCCCTGGAATGAGTAGGTGTGTCCAAACTTTTGACTGGTACGATATGAGTCAAAATGGTTCCGCGTTGGAAAAAATAATACTGGTTTACTTCATTCTAAGAACAGTGTCTATGCAATCTCTCAGTTAGCGGCTGACCTACATTAAAGGGATAGTTCACCACCACACCATAAAAGTGGTATGAAACAGGGGTGAAGTATCCCTTTAAATGTCTGATATTTTTCCATGGTTTTGAAACTCAGTAACTAAGCTGACCAATGCCTAATATTGCTGCAATGTTCAACTCCATTTTCTCAATGACATGGAAGACTTTGGACAGATACATGAGGGGACAATACTTTTTAAAACCAGTTGTTATTAGATAAGACGTAAACACTTTCAAAGTAATATATGGATCCATCGTGTAAAATGTCTTGATCCAACTGCAGTTCACCAAATCTCTCACCACAACCACCCGCACGGTATCGACAAAAAAAATTCCATCCAAATTCCAGCGTCTCTCCTTCCTCTCCCTAGCTGTGTCGATATGATATACGTCAAATGATCAAGTAAACCTATATTATGAGTCTGGTCCATCAACATTTATGCTACATCTTCATTAAAAACAGAAACTCTAAAATGGAGGATTAAAAGGCCAATAACGTTGTTCACTCTTCATCACAATATTTAAAAAAGACCAACAAGTAGACTATCCTATTGCAATTATAGAGCGTCAGAAACTGGTGCCACAAAGCATAGAGTAGACTGATAAGGATGTGCAGTAACTTTTCAATGCCAAGTGTCCAGAGCTTAACTGGGGCTTAGTAGCCACCAAAAGACAGGCTCAGATGTGTTCGTACTACAAATGTACTGCTTGCACCGGGTAACTATTTTTTGACAATGCTCTCGACGTCAACGGCAGCAAAGTGTTTGATATAAATAACAAAATAGAACTGTATAAATATAGAGAATCTGGGATGTGTGTGTGTGTGTGTCTATGTGTGTGTGTCAGTGTTTTTCAAAGGGTGGGAGGGGGGAGGGGGGGTCAAAGGTGAATAGGCCTCCCCTCCCCCACGTCTTGGAAGAGAGAGGTGTAGAACTCGGGCTCCAGCTGCTTGTTGCGGTAGCGGTGCACGACGTCTGCAATCTTCTGCTTGCGCCGCACGTGCGGCGGGCTGTACGTCTCGCTCTCCAGTCGCTTCCGCCGGCACACGTTGATGACCGTCTGGCGCACCAGGAACCCTGGGAGAAAACAGCAAGCAGAATTTGACAATGAGCCAAACAAAATGGGAGTGGAAATCAAATTTGTGGTTTGTAATATCCCAGGGGCAGGATGACAAACCACCAAAACACGTCAGTGTTTGGTTGACCTCAATTTATTCAGTAAATAAACATTTTGATAAAATAAAAACATCTGATAACATCAACTAAGGAGAGTCTGAGGGCAATGGGGAAGGCAGCATTACATAAATGACTATAAGCCAGAGAGACACAGTGGAAATTAATCTAGAGGTAGAGAGAGATAGAGAGAGAGAGAGAGAAATGAGAGATTAGAGAAAAATTGATAGTTTGGTCACCTAGTGCTCTGCGGCTGACCACCATGCCGTCCACCAGGGGGATGACCATGTTGAACTTGCCCATGGCCCCGTGGAGCCTGACCCGGAACAGACCAGTCCTCAGGGGGTGGATGAAGATCAGGGGCATGTCCTTCTCCAGGAGCCCAGACCTGAAGAGGGAGAGAGGAGGGGGAGAGATTAAGTGGAGGAGGGAAAGAGGTGAAGAGAAAGGGGTGGGGTTTGAAGAAGGACATGACATTTCCATTCCATTCAACAGGGAATATGAGACTTGGTCTTCACTACTAGAGTGATTGTTAACTAACCTACTGAAAATGTGTTACAGTGGATTTTATAGTGGCCTAACTTTAATTTGACACATTATTGAAATAGTTGATCAAGCTTAATTTACAAATAGTTTTTGGTAAGTGTTTAGGGTTAGTGTTTGGTTGGGCGTGGGCCTTAGTAGCCTACCTGCAGGAAGTGCTGTTGTTCGCCTCCAAACCCGTGGCAGTTTCCGCCAAGAGATCAGACAAAGGGAAGTTCTCTAGAGAAAAACAACAACGGGGCCATTTGAGGGGAAACACCTTCAACAGTTTCTCACTTTGGTTTCTCACTTTGTTAGGCGGGTCCTCCAAACGGAACAGTAAAAAATGAGTGGTCTCATAAAATTGTACAAGGACAGACATCAGAAATGACACAGAGCCATGATGACGTAATGTGAAACTGTACTAGGGGACGCACAGTGATTTTTAGGGGAAGTTATCTGAGGTTGTTTACCGATGTCATCGTAGCGCTCCACCCAGACCACCAGCACCTTGGTCTCAGGCCCTAGGGGAGGGGCAGTCTTTCCTGTGGAGGACCTCTTGGTCTTCACCATAGAACTCTGCTAGAGGAGAGAAGAGACCAGAGAGAGAGAGAGAGAGAGAGAGAGAGAGAGAGAGAGAGAGAGAGAGAGAGGTCAATACACAGGCATAGGGGTAGAGATATACCCTGAGATGTAATCTATTCCTCAAAACAATGCAAGAAACTAACATTCAAATGTGTGAACTGTCTCCAATGCATAAGTTTAAAAGTCCAATGCAGCCGTTTTTATCTCTTTCAAATCATTTCTGGGGTAACAATTATGTACCTTAATTGAAACGCCAGGATGGTGGGTTCAATTGAAGGGACCACCCATGCGTAAAATGTATGCACACATGACTAAATTGCTTTGTGTCTGCTAAATGGTATACAGTGCCTTCGGTAAGTATTCAGACCCCTTGACTTTTTCCACATTTTGTTATGTTACAGCCTTCTTCTAAAATGGATTAAATAAATACAAATCCTCAGCAATCTACACACAATACCCCATAATGATAAAGTGAAAAAGGGTTTTTAGATTTTTTTGCAAATGTATTAAAAATAACAAAACAGCAATACCTTACTTACATAACTATTCAGACCCTTTGCTATGAGACTCGAAATTGAGCTCAGATGCATCCTGTTTTCATCCTTGAGATGTTTCTACAACTTGATTGGAGTCCACCTGTGGTAAATTCAATTGATTGGACATGATTTGGAAAGGCACACAACTGTCTATGTAAGGTCCCACAGTTGACAGTGCATGTCAGAGCAAAAACCAAGCCATGAGGTCGAAGGAATTGTCCGTAGAGCTCAGAGACAGGATTGTGTCGAGGCACAGATATGGGGAAGAGTACCAAAAAATGTCTGCAGCATTGAAGGTCCCCAAGAACACAGTGGCCTCCATCATTCTTAAATGGAAGAAGTTTGGAACCACCAAGACTCTTCCTAGAGCTGGGCGCCCGGCCAACTGAGCAATCAGGGGAGAAGGGTCTTGGTCAGGGAGGTGACCAAGAACCCAATGGTTACTCTGACAGAGCTCTAGAGTTCCTCTGTGGAGATGGGAGAACCTTCCAGAAGGACAACCATCTCTGCAGCACTCCACCAATCAGGCCGTTATGGTGGAGTGGCCAGACGGAAGCCACTCCTCAGTAAAAGGCACATGATAGCTCGCTTGGAGTTTGCCAAAAGGCAACTAAAGGACTCTCAGACCATGAGAAACAAGATTCTCTGGTCTGATGAAACCAAGATTGAACTATTTTACCTGAATGCCAAGCGTCACTTCTGGAGGAAACCTGGCACCATCCCTACGGTGAAGCATGGTGGTGGCAGCATCATGCTGGGGGGATGTTTTTCAGCGACAGGGACTGGGAGACTAGTCAGGATCGAGGCAAAGATGAACGGAGCAAAGTAATCCTTGATGAAAACCAGCTCCAGAGCACTCAGGACCTCAGACTGGGGTGAAGGTGCACTTTCCAACAGGACAACCACCTAAGCACACAGCCAAGACAACGCAGGAGTGGCTTCGGGACAAGTCTCTGAATGTCCTTGACTAGCCCAGCCAGAGCCCGGACTTAAACCCGATCGAACATCTCTGGAGAGACCTGAAAATAGCTGTGCAGCGACACTCCGCATCCAACCTGACAGAGCTTGAGAGGATCTGCAGAAAAGAATGGGAGAAACTCCCCAAATACAGCTGTGCCAAGCTTGTAGCATCATACCCACTAAGACTCAATGCTGTAATCGCTGCCAAAGGTGCTTCAACAAAGTACTGAGTAAATCAGGGGTGTCAAACGTCCGGCCCGCGGGCCGGATCAGGCCCGCAAACGGGTTTAATCCGGCCCGCGAGATGATTTTGAAAAAAAAATAATAATAATTAATAATCATTTTGTAAAGTATAAAAATGCGCTGCAATTTTTCTATAAAATAAACTGCTGTTCCAATTGCGTCCACTGGATGGCGCAATAGCAATTGTGTTAAGCAAGCAAACTGTTTATACCGGGGCAGAGCAAGTAGGTCAAGCACGTGCAGCCAATGAGCTACTTTGTTTTGCCCGCGATATTTATTACGGCTTCTACTTTTAACATTATGTGCTTTGGCACCCTCATTGCCCCAATATGTCTCTGTCAAAAAAGAGAAAAGTGGACGCAGAGTGCAGAGTGTTCCAAGAAAAATGGTCATCCTATTTATTCACGGAATTGAATGGGAAAGCTGTATGTTTGGTGTGTTCAGAGCATGTTGCAGTGCTGAAAGAATATAACCTTCGTCGCCACTATGTGAGTCTTCATGCCGACAAATATGACAACTTTCAAGGACAGCGGAGATGAGAGAAGGTGAATGAACTGTTGGCGGGTCTGAAGAAACAGCAGTCTGTGTTTACTCACAGCCGAGACATCAGTGACGCTGCAGTGAAAGCTAGCTACCTCATTGCTAATGAAATCGCAGTGGCTTCAAAACCATTTAGTGAGGGTGAATTTGTAAAAACATGCATGATGAAGGCAGCGGAGATTGTGTGCCCTGAAAAGCGGCAGGCTTTTGCAAATATCAGCCTGACAAGAAACACAGTTGCAGACAGGATTTCCGATCTTTCAGTTGATTTGGACAGCCAGTTGAAGCAAAAAGTAAAGTCATTTATTGCGTTTTCGGTTGCAATTGATGAAAGCACGGACATTACAGATGTTGCACAACTGGCCATTTTCATCCGCGGAGTTGATGACACATTGACCGTCACCGAGGAGTTCGTGGAGTTGGTGCCGATGACAGATACAACGACAGCAGCTGATATTTTTACCGCACTCGTCGGTGCGCTGGACAGGGTCGGAGTGGACTGGTCCCGCGCTGTCAGCCTGGCTACAGATGGTGCGCCCTCAATGATCGGGAAAAAAGCAGGCGTTGTGACAAAGTTCAGAGAGAAAGTGCAATCTGCAAATGGAGGACGTGATTTTTTGACTTTTCACTGTATTTTGCACCAGGAGGCTTTGTGTTGCAAGTCATTAAAGATGGATAACGTCATGAAGGTGGTCATCCAAACTGTTAATTTCATCCGATCCAGAAGCCTGAATCACCGTCAGTTTGACAGCCTTCTCAGAGAGAAAGACCACATCTATGGCCTGCCATACCACACTGAGGTAAGATGGTTAAGCCGAGGTGCTGTGCTGAGGCGTTTCTTTGATTTACGAGAAGAAATTGAACAGTTCATGGAAGAAAAGGGCAAACCAGTGTTAGAATTTCATTCCGCAGAATGGATGCAGGACCTTGCATTTATGGTGGATGTTACAGAGCACCTGAATAACTTGAACAAACAGCTGCAAGGGCGCAACAAAGTTGTCACGCAGTATTATGACAGCATACGTTCTTTCAAGTTGAAGCTGTCATTGTGGGAGACGCAACTTGCCGGTGGTGATGCAGCTCACTTCCCCTGTCTGAAAAATGTGTGCGCGACCCAACATGTGGCAGACATGAAGCGGTTCAAAGATACAATAACGGGACTGTTACGGGAGTTTGAGCAACGCTTTCAGATTTATGTTTATATGTTTATGTTGATGTGCTATTGTTTTTAATTGATTTTATTTGTATATGTATATTTAACCTATTCTTGACTCTGTGGTTCTTGCACTTGTTTGGGGAACAGGATTTCATTATTTTTATCTACATTTCTGCCTGAGAAATGACACCCTGATATAGTTCTGTGATCTGTGAAACAGTTCTGTTAATCACTGAGGCATTGTGTGTTTGTGTGTTCTTTTTCTTTAGAATTTTCAAATAAACTTGACGTGTTTTATGATTAATAGTGATGTTGTGCTTGTACTATTTTGGACACACTGTCCTCAGGCTCCAGCTTTATGTTGTATGTTGATCGTATTAAAACAAAGAAAACAATCTGAAGTTGTTGTTTTTAAGTTATATATACCATGATTTTTCCGGTCCGGCCCACTTGGGAATAGATTTTCCTCCATGTGGCCCCTGAGCTAAAATGAGTTTGACACCCCTGGAGTAAATGGTCTGAATACTTATGTAAATGTGATATTTTATTTTTTGCTTCATCATTATGGGGTATTTGTGTGTAGATTGATGAGGGGAAAAAAACAATTTAATCAATGTTAGAATACGTCTGTAACGTAACAAAATGTGGAAAAAGTCAAGGGGTCTGAATACTTTCCGAAGGCACTGTATATTATTATTAATGTAGGATTGTGGATTAGTTACCCTTTGGGAAGCTGTTAGGTTGTCTGAGTGGTTGGGGAAGAGCTCCAGTGTTAGATTGGGTTGTTTCAGTAAACTAGGCGGGAGGTCTGTGTGTGTGTCCGCCTCCACTGTAGAGTCACTGTGCACCGAGGAATCCTCTGTAAACACAAAAACACCTATCAGCCACCCAGGGAGAGGCAAAACTGTATCTTCACATAGGCTGCATTAAAAAGACATTACACAAAAAGAAACATCAATGTTTGTCAGATGTTTTACACTTCAAAAGTGATCTATCATTAACATAAGGCCACGTCACTGGCCATCTGTTCTGTAGCTTCATCTATATGCCACAATCCAAAATGAATGGAATAGATAAGTGGATTCATCTTGACTGAGTACTTTCGTGGTCTGAAAACATCTGAAAAACGTAGATTTTTGGAGAGTAATGTCCCTTTAAGACAAAATAAAATAAGAATTTAAATACAAAATACAAGTATTTGTAAATGCTAACCTGAGGAGTCTGTCAGCGATGGAACGACAAAGGCGATCTCAGTCAGAGCATCGGCATAGTACAGCACCTTTTTCTCCCCGTTGAATACAGAACCACCTGTGTCCTCCGGTGTAGCTGCCTCCTCTATGGGGACAGAGCAAAATATGAAACATTACACATTTACCTTGTCTAAGATGTAGAATTAGAATAAGAAAATGTGTACTATGGCCCGGGCTAACCAAGAAGTATTTTGTCTATCACCATGGCTTTATGAAACATTACCTATTCACCCTGACTGAGACAGAATTACAAAAATACTCTTTATTATGCTGTATCTATAGCCTGAGCCAACCAAGACATCGCCCTGGCTTTAGCTCAGCGAGCTAACACCTTCTTCAGTGGTGAATGTGTCACACTGACAATATGGACCAGGATCTTCACCTTTGAACCTTTTCCTGAGACCCATGGACATGTTTTAGCACCAACAGCCTGGGTTCCATGTCGGTTATGAATATGACCCCTGGGGCGGGTGGCTCACCTGTCTGTTGTGAGTCGTTGTCGCAGGAGTTAAGGGACCAGCTGGTGTCCATGTGTCCAGTCCAGCCAGGGTGCCGGCCCACATCCACGGGCCAGCCCAGAGACAGCAGGAACTCCAGGAAGTGGGGCTGGACGCTGGACGATGTCTCCACGTTCCTCAGGATCTACCAATTATAATGCATCATTCACACAATGGATCAAGATCAGCCAAACACAAAGCATCATATCACACAGTGGATCCACGATCGACCAATCACAATGCATAACACAGTGGATCAATCAGTGAGATTGAAAAATAAACATACAGCGTAAACTGGCATGTGAAAATTCATCAAAGTAATAAACTTAACAAGTTCTCACCTCGTGGCTGGTTTTCTGTCCTGCCCTCATGTAGAACACAAAGACTGTGTCAAAAGGTCGGCATGGCAACAGGTCCAGGTAGGCGATGTCATCGAAGAACCCTGGCATTGAGGACTCCAGTCCAATGAGATGAGGTGGTAAACGGCTGTTGCCCGGTTCCTGAAGTAAGAGAGTCAGTACAACGTCAGTACAACGTGAACAGGCCATGCTTTAGAGCTATGGCCCCTTTTCAAACATACCCAGAAACTGGATTTTGTGATAGGTGAAGGCAAGACGGTAGCTGACAGAAACCAAACATAGTATTGAGGTAAATTATAACATTTTCCATAAACTACAGTGGCCAACCACTGACTAAATAGTGTACCGAACCACTGACAAACTACAGTTCCCAACCACTGACATAAACTTAAGTTCTGAACACTATGAAACTACAGTTCCAAACCTTCAGTGCCTCTAGAGACAGGAAGCCGAAGTGAGAGAGGAAGAGGCGGGCCGTCTGGAACTCCTGGGCGGGCGGAGGGGGTTTGCAGTCGGTCAGGGGGTCCGGGAATGACTTGGAACTCCAGACATCCTCGCTGTGGCGCTCCAGGGAACACTCATACTCAATCTGCTTGGTCATCATGCTGCGCAGCCTATCATGCTGCTTCTCCAGCTGAGAGGAGGGGGGGGCAAGGTCAAGTTTGTGTGACTGGAGGCAACTATAAGGATGCAAAGCACATTCACTAGGGTTGGATTAAATTTGATTTAAATTCAGGAAGTAAACTGATATTCCTATTTTAAAAAATGTCTCAACTGAATTTAAATGGAATTGACCCCAATCCTGACACACTCAAACACACACTTATCTCACGTTGTATAATGTTTGTAAATATAAATTAGTGTATGTACCTGAGACTGTACCCACCCTATAATCTTAAAAAATTTAAGTAAACCAAGTTCTGCCACTGCCACAACTATACCTCTACCAACAATTACCACTGCAATCAAGAACAGATCAATGTGAGTCTAAGGGCTCTATTAATATCTGAGTGGCATGGTTAAGGCAAAACAACACAGTGTTCTGACTTTGATATAATAAAGCCCTCACCAACCCAGATTAGATAGTTAGGGAGTAACATAACAATGTGAGTATTCTCCATTCTCCACCCTTTCTTCCCATCAGTGATCTGGTTAACCTTTGACCCGTCTCAGTCTCCTGAAAGATGGGACAACTCACGTGTGGGTGATTATTCTTCACTGTGTATATCACACTCACTTCATCCTGTCAGTTCATAGAAGACACTTGATTCCACATTAACAACAATATACCCAAATAATGTTAAGTCTCCATAAAGCCTGGGTAACACTATAGTTTTACTCTCTTTATGCTCTGTGCCAAAGGTTCTCTTAAAAAGTCATTCACTTTAGAAATAGTTTATATTGCATTACATTTTAGCAGTGATAAGGGCTGAGTTTGAATATACTCAACTACCCTCCCCTACTTGCATTCTTTCCTTCATGACCATGGATAGTTGAAAGAACTGGATAGGTGAAAGAACTAATATGAAAACCTATCAAGGTACTTTCAAATTGTTAGTCATGAAGGAGAGGATATAAGAAAAGTAGGATTATGAAGAGTTTTGGCACTTGACCTATGGCACCCTAACTATTGGGGTCATGGTGCGGTTCGGTCCTTCTCACCTCCTTGTTGACGATGTCGTCCAGGTCTGGGATGCTGACGTCGGCTTTGACCAGGGGGATCTTGTCCACCTCCTCAGGGAAGGGCCTCTGCTTGATGTTGTAGCGAATCCCCACATCATTGTTGGGGGCCGGGCGGCCCTCAGGGACAAACACCTGCTGTAGGAGAGCAAGAGAGGAAGGAATTATTATATACAGTTCTGTTTAGTATTAATAACAGTGGTGTATTCTTTACTGTTTAGTATTAACTGTTGGTGTAAACAGCTACCACAACAAAACACAAACATTTAAATAATCCCTCTCTCTATATACACTGCTCAAAAAAATTTAATGGAACACTTAAACACAATGTAACTCCAAGTCAATCACACTTCTGTGAAATCAAACTGTCCACTTAAGAAGCAACACTGATTGACAATAAATTGCACATGCTGTTGTACAAATGGAATAGACAACAGGTGGAAATTATAGGCAATTAGCAAGACACCCCCAATAAAGGACTGGTTTTGTAGGTGGTGACCACAGACCACTTCTCAGTTCCTATGCTTCCTGGCTGATGTTTTGGTCACTTTTGAATGCTGGCGGTGCTTTCACTCTAGTGGTAGCATGAGACGGAGTCTACAACCCACACAAGTGGCTCAGGTAGTGCAGCTCATTCAGGATGGCACATCAATGCGAGCTGTGGCAAGAAGGTTTGCTGTGTCTGTCAGCGTAGTGTCCAGAGCATGGAGGCGCTACCAGGAGACAGGCCAGTACATCAGGAGACGTGGAGGAGGCCGTAGGAGGGCAACAACCCAGCAGCAGGACCGCTACCTCCGCCTTTGTGCAAGGAGGAGCAGGAGGAGCACTGCCAGAGCCCTGCAAAATGACCTCCAGCAGGCCACAAATGTGCATGTGTCTGCTCAAACAGTCAGAAACAGACTCCATGAGGGTGGTATGAGGGCCCGACGTCCACAGGTGGGGGTTGTGCTTACAGCCCAACACCATGCAGGACGTTTGGCATTTGCCAGAGAACACCAAGATTGGTAAATTCGCCACTGGCGCCCTGTGCTCTTCACAGATGAAAGCAGGTTCACACTGAGCACATGTGACAGACGTGACAGAGTCTGGAGATGCCGTGGAGAATGTTCTGCTGCCTGCAACATCCTCCAGCATGACCTGTTTGGCGGTGGGTCAGTCATGGTGTTGGGTGGCATTTCTTTGGGGGGCCGCACAGCCCTCCATGTGCTCGCCAGAGGTAGCCTGACTGCCATTAGGTACCGAGATGAGATCCTCAGACCCCTTGTGAGACCATATGCTGGTGGGGTTGGCCCTGGGTTCCTCCTAATGCAAGACCTCATGTGGCTGGAGTGTGTCAGCAGTTCCTGCAAGAGGAAGGCATTGATGCTATGGACTAGCCCGCCCGTTCCCCAGACCTGAATCCAATTGAGCACATCTGGGACATCATGTCTCGCTCCATCCACCAACGCCACGTTGCACCACAGACTGTCCAGGAGTTGGCGGATGCTTTAGTCCAGGTCTGGGAGGAGATCCCTCAGGAGACCATCCGCCACCTCATCAGGAGCATGCCCAGGCGTTGTAGGGAGGTCATACAGGCACGTGGAGGCCACACACACACTACTGAGCCTCATTTTGACTTGTTTTAAGGACATTACATCAAAGTTGGATCAGCCTGTAGTGTGGTTTTCCACTTTAATTTTGAGGGTGACTCCAAATCCAGACCTCCATGGGTTGATAAATTTGATTTCCATTGATAATTTGTGTGTGATTTTGTTGTCAGCACATTCAACTATGTAAAGAAAAAAGTAGTTAATAAGATTATTTCATTCATTCAGATCTAGGATGTGTTATTTTAGTGTTCCCTTTATTTTTTTGAGCAGTGTATATATATATATATATATATATACAGTGAGGGAAAAAAGTATTTGCTGGAGTTAGCTCTATTAGTGGTGCTGGAGTTGGCTCTATTAGTGGTGCTGGAGTTGGCTCTATTAGTGGTGCTGGAGTTGGCTCTATTAGTGGTGCTGGAGTTGGCTCTATTAGTGGTGCTGGAGTTGGCTCTATTAGTGGTGCTGGAGTTGGCTCTATTAGTGGTGCTGGAGTTGGCTCTATTAGTGGTGCTGGAGTTGGCTCTATTAGTGGTGCTGGAGTTGGCTCTATTAGTGGTGCTGGAGTTGGCTCTATTAGTGGTGCTGGAGTTAGCTCTATTAGTGGTGCTGGAGTTGGCTCTATTAGTGGTGCTGGAGTTGGCTCTATTAGTGGTGCTGGAGTTGGCTCTATTAGTGGTGCTGGAGTTGGCTCTATTAGTGGTGCTGGAGTTAGCTCTATTAGCGTAGTATGTTAGCAGTTTTATTGCTAACATTTCCCTATTTGAATAGACGGCCACCGTAAATAATAATACTAGTGTGCAAGAGATCCTCCAATACTGTTACTGAGCTGAGCCGTACTGCAACAATATCAGTGCCAGCACAGTACGGGGTGAGTGTGTCTAACTGGCAGACCAAGGTGGTACAGTGGGCCAACTCCTCTCACCCTCTGGTTGGCCCGTGCTCCTCTGGGCTGGTGGAAGAGTTGCATAGTCCAAGCGTGTCGGCCGGCCATGCCCCGGATCAGGACTGTTACTGACGGGCTGGGGTCTGAGAAGACAGGAGAAGCAGTTACACCAGGGCTCCCAGAGAAAGTAGAAACCAAATACTAGTTTGAGCCAAAATGGCCGCCTGACTAGCCACCTGCCATTGAGACGCCTACTCACTGTCATAAGCCACTATCCTATTTGCATTTATGTATCAGTCTCAGTATTTAACTGTTCACTTCACAAGATGAGTCCAATTGAGCAACACAAGCATCAGCCCAAAAATACAACAATCTTACAAACTACAAATAAATATCAAGAACGACAAGAAACATCAATAACATAAAGGACAATGTTACTAAAGCAATAATACATGAGGGGGTGTGATTTATTGTGGTTATAAGCAAGGCTACGCTGCGGTCTTCGCCTCATACCGTCTACCACCACAGCCGTGCTAGTACCACAGTAAATCATAACCCAAGTGAATAATTGCTTTAGAAAACGGTTTTACACGCCCCCCACTAACTCTGTTCATTGCCCAATGGCTGCTCCAGCATGGCCAGGATGACTGAGTTGTCCAGGACAAAGTAGCGGAAGTTGCTGGGCCCCGTGGCGCTGAGCCGGGCGTAGCGGATCAGAGTGTCCTCGTTTAGCAGGCTGCAGGTGGAGGCCGGGCCGCTTGGGGAGGGGAAGGCCCCCAGGACCTGCATAATACTGGACAACAACAAAAGCAACCATCAACAATAACAAGAGAGTGAGGGGAGGGACAGATACAGACAGACAGTGGTTTCAAAGAGTCTAGACTGATCCCCAGACAGGACCAATAAACATTAGTAATTAGTTTTATTAGTTATTAATAGACCATGTGTAATTCTGAGCATAAATGCAGGGTCGTTTTTATTAGAGCACACTGTAGCAAAACCTTTTGAAACAGAAAACAAAAATCAGCATTTCTTATTGGACAAGTCCGGGTAGTCCCACCCTGTATCAACCAGTTTCCTTCCAGTTTGTGTTTAATGAACACAACCCAGGTGTTTATTGAATTGTGCTGGATTTAGAGCCTCACCAGGAGAGGGTGGCCTCCGCTGCATCCTTGACCCTCATGGAGGCGGGGTTGTGCTCCTTCTCTCCCTTGTGTCTCACCTCCTGCTCCTGTTTGGACTTGCTGCCTGAGATACCCAGCTCTACGATCTCCAATACCTCCATCAGACAGTCCTGACGGACACACATGTCAAACACAGGCATCACGCTACACATATTTAACTCCACATATACAAAGTTAGTCTACTCTAAAATCTACTGTAACACAAAGCATATCGCATTAAAATACACTGGATTAGTGTAGACCCACTGCCAAAGCCCTTTTACTGTGTAAATGTTTAGTTATGACACATATTTCCATCTTACTCATTTAGCAGACCCTCTTATCCAGAGCTACTTGCAGTAAGTGCATTCAACTAGGTTAAGTAGGGGGGAAAACGATCACATATCTCAGTTATTGCAAGTATTATACTTATGATATGGTGGGTAGTTTAGTGTTAGCACACAGTTAGGCAACACACTACCAGGATACACTTCCACACAACATCCCCAAGTTGCAGCACCAACCGGGTCAGTGGCGGGTGTTATGCTAAGCCTTATTAAGCCCACAGGTGGAGGCAATGGGGAAATGATTAGTGTGCAAGCTTGCAAAGCCAGCAGGCTGCATGTTTTTTTCTTGGTGGCCATGTGGCCGTTGGTTTTGGGTTGAATCCTTAGTTTTAGACGTTTACTTTTTAGTTTATTTTTAGTTTAGGTTTTCTTTCTTTTTACTATTTTCTACATTGTAGAATAATAGTGAAGACATCAAAACTATTAACTAACACATATGGAATCATGTATTAACCAAATAAGTGTTAAACAAATCAAAATATATTTGAGATTCTTCAAATAGCCACCCTTTGCCTTGATGACAGCTTTGCACACTATTGGCCTTCTCTCAACCAGCTTCATGAGGTAGACACCTGAAATGCATTTCAATGAACAGGTGTGCCGTCTTAAAAGTTAATTTGTGGAATGTATTTCCTTCTTAATGCGTTTGAGCCAATCAGTTGTGTTGTGACAAGGTAAGGGGGGGGGGGGGGGGGGAAGACCCAGCGTTACATCTGCTGCAGAGGATAGGTTCATTAGAGTTAACTGCACCTCAGATTGCAGCCCAAATAAATGCTTCACAGAGTTCAAATAACAGACACATCTCAATATCAACTGTTCAGAGGAGACCACGTGAAGCAGGCCTTCATGGTCGAATTGCTGCAAAGAAACCACTACTAAAGGACACCAATAAAGATGAAAGATTAATAAGAAAAAGAGACTTGCTTGGGCCAAGAAACGCGCAATGGACATTAGACCGGTGGAAATCTGTCATTTGGTCTGATGAGTCCAAATTTGAGATTTTTGGTTCCAACCGCCGTGTCTTTGTGAGACGCTGAGTAGGTGAACGGATGACCTCCGCATGTGTGGTTCCCATCGTGAAGCATGGAGGAGGAAGTGTGATGGTGTGGGGGTGCTTTGCTGGTGACACTGTCTGTGATTTATTTAGAATTCAAGGCACACTTAACCAGCATGGCTACCACAGCATTCTGCAGCGATACGCCATCCCATCTAGTTTGCGCTTAGTGGGACTATCATGTGTTTTTCAACAGGACAATGACCCCAAAACACACCTGCAGCCTGTGTAAGGGCTATTTGACCAAGAAGGAGAGTGCTGGAGTGCTGCATCAGATGACCTGGCCTCCACAATCAACCAACCTCAACCCAATTGAGATGGTTTGGAATGAGTTGGAATGCAGAGTGAAGGAAAAGCAGCCAACAAGTGCTCAGCATATGTGGGAACTCCTTCAAGACTGTTGGAAAAGCATTCCAGGTGAAGCTGGTTGAGAGAATGACAAGAGTGTGCAAAGCTACAATGTAGAAAATAGTCAGAAATAAAAAATAAAACTTGAATGAGTAGGTTAAACTTCTGACTGGTACTGCATTTACGTCGGTCACCATTTTTGAATCAATAATACGCTTGGGCTAGTTGGCTCTGGACCTGAGGTAAGGTTGCTGTCTCCTGGGCACATGTACATACAACACAGTCCTCATACACTGATTTCTCACATACAGTGCATTCGTAAAGAATTCAGACCCCTTGTCTACACTTTGTTACGTTACCGCCTTATTCTGAAATGGATTCAATTGATTTTATTCGTCATCAATCTCCACACAATATCCCATAATGACAAAGCAAAAACAGGTTTTTAGAAAATGGATATACCCCATTGAAATAAGTATTCACACCCTTTACTCAGTACTTAGTTGAAGCACCTTTGGCAGAGATTATAGCCTCTAGTCTTATGGGGTATGACGCTACAAGGTTGGCACACCTGTATTTGGGCAGTTTCTTCCATTCTTCTTTGCAGATCCTCTCAAGCTCTGTCAGGTTGGATGGGAAGTGTCGCTGCACAGCTATTTTCAGGTCTCTCCAGAGATGTTCGATCAGGTTCAAGTCTGGACTCTGGCTAGGCTACTCAAGGACATTCAGAGACTTGTCTCGAAACCACTCCTGCGTTGTCTTGGCTGTGTGCTTAGGGTGGTTGTCTTCTTGGAAGGTGAACCTTCACCCCAGTCTGAGGTCCTGAGTGCTCTGAAGCAGGTTTTCATCAAGGACCTCTCTGTACTTTGCTCCGTTCATCTTTCCCTCGATCCTGACTAGTCTCCTAGTCCCTGCCGCTGAAAAACATCCCCACAGCATGATGCTGCCACCACCATGCTTCACCGTAGGGATGGTGCCAGGTTTCCTCCAGACATGACGCTTGGGATTCAGGCCAAAGAGTCTTGGTTTCATCAGACCAGAGAATCTTGTTTCTCATGGTCTGAGAGTCCTTTAGTTGCCTTTTGGCAAACTCCAAGCGGGCTGATGAGTGGCTTCCGTCTGGTCACTCTACCATAAAGGCCTGATTGGTGGAGTGCTGCAGAGACGGTTTTCCTTCTGGAAGGTTCTCCCATCTCCACAGAGGAACGCTGGAGCTTTGTCAGAGTGACCATCGGGTTCTTGGTCACCTCCCTGACCAAGGCCCTTCTCCCCTGATTGCTCAGTTTGGCCGGGATGTGTCTTGGTGGTTCCAAACTTCTTCAATTTAAGAATGTTGGAGGCCACTGTGTTCTTGGGGACCTTCAATGCTGCAGAACATTTTTGGTACCCTTCCCCAGATCTGTGCCTCGACACAATCCTCTCTTGGAGCTCTACGGACAATTCCTTCGACCTCATCGCTTGGTTTTTGCTCTGACATGCACTGTCAACTGTGGGACTTTATATAGACAAGTTTGTGCCTTTCCAAATCATTTCCAATCAATTGAATTTACCACAGGTGGACTCCAATCAAGTTTTAGAAACATCTCAAGGATGATCAATCGACAAAATATGTACCTGAGATCAATTTCGAGTCTCATAGCGAAGCGTCTGAATACTTATGTAAATTAGGTAGTTCTGTTTTTTCTTTTTAATACATTTGCAAAAAATATATAAAAACCTCTTTCGATTTGTCATTGTAAGGTATTGTGTGATTGAATCCATTTTAGAATAAGGCTGTAACGTAACAAAATGTGGAAAAAGTCAAGGGGTCTGAATACTTTATGAATGCACTGTAGATACACACCTTAAATCAGGTTACAGACCAGTTAACTAGCCTAGGAACCCTAGAATTAGCGAGCGTATCAATATTAGTAGGCTAGTTATTGGTTTCATAACACAAGGAGACCCTACTATGAAATAGCTGCTATCAGCAGAATCAGTGCCAGGAAGAAAACATATGTGTGTCACGGTTTCGGCCGAGGCTGCTCCTTCTCCTTGTTCGGGCAGGCTTCGGCGGTCGTTGTCTCCGGAGTACTAGCTGCCACCGTTCTATGTTTCGATGTTTGATTGGTTTTGTCTGTTTTGTTACACCTGTTCCTTGTTAGTGTTCATTATGCGTCCTATAAGTTCTCTTGAGTTTTGTCATGTGTTGTGTGTAATTGTTCGTTGTCACTGTGGTATGCTAGTTCGTTTTTGTCTCCCTGTTCGGTGTAGTAGAGAGCTCCGCACTTTTGTGCCTTTGTACAGTGGGGAAAAAAAGTATTTAGTCAGCCACCAATTGTGCAAGTTCTCCCACTTAAAAAGATGAGAGAGGCCTGTAATTTTCATCATAGGTACACGTCAACTATGACAGACAAATTGAGAGAAAAAAATCCAGAAAATCACATTGTAGGATTTTTTATGAATTTATTTGCAAATTATGGTGGAAAATAAGTATTTGGTCACCTACAAACAAGCAAGATTTCTGGCTCTCACAGACCTGTAACTTCTTCTTTAAGAGGCTCCTCTGTCCTCCACTCGTTACCTGTATTAATGGCACCTGTTTGAACTTGTTATCAGTATAAAAAGACACCTGTCCACAACCTCAAACAGTCACACTCCAAACTCCACTATGGCCAAGACCAAAGAGCTGTCAAAGGACACCAGAAACAAAATTGTAGACCTGCACCAGGCTGGGAAGACTGAATCTGCAATAGGTAAGCAGCTTGGTTTGAAGAAATCAACTGTGGGAGCAATTATTAGGAAATGGAAGACATACAAGACCACTGATAATCTCCCTCGATCTGGGGCTCCACGCAAGATCTCACCCCGTGGGATCAAAATGATCACAAG